AAAGAGAAACCAAAAAAAAAGTTGAAGTAAACTGAACAGAAAAAAATTGTTTTGAAAAAAGTCTTTTAAACTATTTGAATGTGTAGACTAACATTTTCTGCAGAGCTCATCAACTTTCCTCATGTCTAAACAGTCCATGGAAAAAAAAAACACAAAGAGACTTATTTCAAAGCACGGATCTCTTTCTGTCCAGTTTGGAGGAAATGAATAAAAAATATGTTGGTGCGTAAGTAATAAGACTTCCTTTTGCCATGAAGGAAATTGCAAAAACCAAAGCAGCGGGTTGGCTGTAGAGAAAATGACACATGGAATGTCCTGGCCCGCCCCCAACTCTCCTCCACAGCGGGACGATCGGATCAGGCAGGCCAGGCAGTCCAGTGTGTGTCAACAGACATGACTTACACAAAAACTCTATTTAGTTCCTCCTTGAACCCTTTCTCATCAGTGCATACACCTGAGAATATACAATAACATCAGTGTTGTTTTCCTGATCAGGTGACTTAAAGCTTAACAGGTCCATCTGGGCTTACCTTTGTCTTCCTCACCTTTCGCTGACGGCAGCAGAGGGGGCTGTCTCAAACCCCTATTGATTTATTGTTCTATACATGAAATATGGAAGAATTATTTTTGGAGATCAATATTTATCGTAGGTATTTTCTTTGTGCTAGCGGGGGAACTTTTTGTTATAGATCTGCCCTGTTAGGAAAAATAAGTTGTGACCTAAGGAGTTCTCGAGTTGTAAATAGAGGCGGTGGACTGTGTGTATGAGGCAGAAAAAGTTTATTTATTAATCCAGAACCTGGTGAAATTGAATACTCAACACTACATATTAGTATTGGCTATTCAAGCCTGACTATCCTTCCACATAAGGAGGTTTTAATAGGAGCTAAAGAGCACAGCTTGGAGACAAGATAAAAGGAGAAGTGCATAGCAAACCACATCTGAGACGAGTGGACCGAGGAAACTGATAACGTTAAAAAAGGACAAATTCTGTAATAGCTGTACAATGCCAGTGCTAACCTGAGAGAAAAGTCAACAATGATCTGAAGGTGTCCTTGCTAAGACTATGCAGGGGATGCAAAATTCACTATGAAGTACGATAAGATCTGAGTTGTAGAGGGTTGAAAAAATAACCCCTGTGACTCATTAAGTGGTTAATTTATTTATTGCAGCTCATGTTCTTTAACAATACTTTACATAGAGAATATTTTTGGGGGAAATCCTCCTTTGGGGTTTTGGGCCAGTTGCTTAATTTGTTATAATGACAGTCCTAGCCCCATTCACCATCAGGGCCAGTTAGAGTAACTTTAAATGGAGAAGCCTTGTTTCATATGATGGTCACTATGTAATCATGAGGCCAAGGCAACCACCACTTGGTTTTATGCAAAATTGAGACAACATGACAGGGCCATATGTTTTTCTTGGAGAGTCTGAGTTGCTTTTAGAGGTTTAATACATTAATATCAATATGATTTACTTTGACATTATCAACATCAAACATAAACTTTCTGTATATTGCACTTGACTTGACTATTTTAAAACTAATGAAGTCTTTGCAAGGCAGGCACGGATAACAGCAGGAAATACAAATGTGGCTAGATTATACAAGGGCATATTCCCTCTGTGTGAACACATTCTTCTTTTAAGAATAAAAATGGATATAATCCTCAGTTCAAAGTCCAATAACAAGTTTACATTGCAGTGTGTCACATAATTCCATACTGCAGCTTGTTAAAGAAGACCTATTGTGCTTGTGTATGCTACAGTATATAGATAGATATATAGATACAGATATAATCTATGACACCCATGGGGCATTATGTTATAATTTGCACATTTTAAATCACAAGTCTACTGAATTCCACATGAGAAAAATGGGGTGCCCAGTTGGAGCTGACGTAAATACAAAGGAGTGGGCATATGCTGGTGGCACTAAAAACAGGGATTGGTCGGCAATATGGCATTATGAAAATAAGCAAATTAAGACTGCATGTACAAATCACTCCAAATACAACCTCAAGTGAGTAAATGGTAACGCGACTTGATCTGCGCAAATTTTGTTTAAAAATGAAAAAAAAAAAAAACTAAAGTAAAATAAGTAAAATAGCAACAACAACACATGACACTATGTTCATAATTTTGAAGCATATGGATAATAAAATTGTGTTTATCCTCTCAGTTTAGGAGACTATCAGTCAAACAGCGTGCGTAAAAAAAACAAAACTTTTTTATTTATATTTATTGTGTGTGTTATAAATGATGCCAAAATGAATGATGTCATATCGGCCAACCTCCTGTCTGGTCTTGTGTGTCACATGACAGTGGTCAGGTGACCCAAACACACTTTTTGAGCAGAGGGAACATATGATGGTGAAAAAACAGGGAAAATTATGTTTGAAGACTTTTTTTTTTACGTGGTAAATTACTTAAAAACAAATTTTTGCAACTAATATTTAATTCTTCAGCACCTCAACAACATAAATAGCTATTCTTCCCTAAACTGTTGTTCCATATAATGCTCTAAATCTTCACCCTCTTCAGCCCTTAAACTGCAGTACATACTTGTTCATGTAGAATACCCCATGGATGGGTGTGGTTTGTAGGTATTGTGTGTATCTGTAATGAATTATATGAGAAGTCGGACTGGTTTAGTAGAGCTGCTTGCTGACATGCCTGTTTGGGTTATGTGTTGTAACAGACATGGGATGGGTGGAATGTTTGCACAGAGCATTTTAATGACAGAAACTGTTTTCATTAATTGGATTTCCATAGTGGGTTCCATATATAGGCCAAAGGCCATCTTGTGCGCTCCATAAAATGCACTGGTCAAGAGAAGAGGCAGTGAAAACCTGGAGCCTAGGACTTCTGCATTCTCTGCACTACATACAGACAAAGTCGGAAGATCCCAATCTAAATCCAGTCCCCTTTTTGCAGCTTTCCCCATGCACGCTCTCCTCTCAGGTGACAACAAAAGTGCCCATGGCGAGTGGTCAATGAGAGCATGCTGCAGTGACAGCCCGAGCCAGAGAAAAGATGGGCAAAGAGGCAGCGATAATATAGACATAAAATATAGCTGAAGTGTCGGGTGTTGAAATGTAACACACAAGCACACTGACACAGTCTAGTCTATACTCACTCTGAGACAGGACGAACTTGCTGGAACACGCTGTGAGGTTGCATCTCCGGACAGGGGTGATCCGGTGGCTCTTCGTGGCCCGGACAAGCTGCCGCTGAAGCTGAGAAGCCAGTGGTCTTATTACCGAGGTCACCATGTCGATATTCAGAGATAGACAGGTTCAGATGTGCCGTCGTCCCTTTTTTCTTCAAATACAACAGTAGCGTTACTCTCGTACAATAGCTCTAGCTTGTGTCAATACAAGCTCAAGTGCCGTCCTCCAGTGGGAAAGAGGCGGAGAAACGCTCCGTTTCTCTTTTGTTTACCGCGATCGTGTACACTGCGTCCTCGCCGTTTGTGCGTCGATAAACGATAAGATATAAGCTCTTGTTTACGAAACTGATGGCTCGGCAGTACAGAGGAAGGAAAGGGTCTGTGCGCCGACCAATCAGCGCGCTTTTCTGAGGGGCGTCGACGTGGTGACGACGGACGACCACCAAACAAAAGCACGGCCCACCAGTCTCCACATTTAAAAACACTAAAACATGAGGCTACATTTCCTTATCGTTTCCTGTTTGAGGCACAGCAACTTTGAGCATGAATTGACATGTAGCAAAGCTCATTTACAAACAGGAAATTAGATGTTCTTATTAGTTTAATTTAGTCGAGTCGTACACAAAAATACACATTATCTAATAGCAAAGTTTATTTTTTTTCCAACAATAATGTCCAATAGACTCAAGGCTATACAAGTCAGGTCACAATCTTAACAGTATCATAGTGAAGCTTGTTGTACATGTTTCATAGAAATAAACAGAAAACATCGCTGTTGTGATGCTCGTTATGTGCACATAGTAAAACTATTAAAATGAAAGTGATACCAATGCAGTTTCAAAGGTGGCCATGTCAGTGCCAGTTTTGTTTAACAAGACCTTGACTGCCTTTCTCAATGTACTTCACATAGAGCATGTAATGAAAGAGTTGACTCCATTGTCTTTTCTTTTCTACCATGGCACAAAGCAGCCATTTCAGTGCTTGTGTATATTTAAGTCAAGTCAGGCAACATTCACTACACACAAGTACCACAAGGTGCCTGTCCTCAAGTTGACGCATCATCACAAGACATAAATAATAGATGGAAAACAATCATTTGGTTTGGTGTTTTTTTCTTATGCAACTTGCTAACAAATGATTATCCTGACTTGTGTAGCACATGAAATACATAAGGTTTATAAAAGATACAAAACACTTACTGTAACCATCAAGAGACGCGCTTTATAGGATTGAAATGAGTAAAAGTAAAAAATGAGCTAGCAAATTCTCAGACTATATACAGCATTGTGTAGGGAAGGAAGAGGGACTGTTAAAGCATACATTGGTCTGTTGAGAAATGGATTTGACAAATGAAAAACCGTTGTAATAAATTGTTCTTCATAAAACACGTGAGGCTGCAGTCACTGTTCTGTCAAAACGACAACAGCTGCACATCTAGTCCAGAGCAATAATATCATCATCGTCCTCTTCAGCAGTTTGGTCTGTCCGTGGACGTTTGGCTGAGGTCTCTCCTGTTTCTGCGTCTGAGTGCTTCCTCTTGTGGCTGCTGGGAGTGTCTGCGGCCGAGCTCGAAGCCGCTCCTTCATCATCGTCAGAGTCAACGATCATGATGTCATCGTCATCTGCTGGAGCTAGAAAGAGGTAATAAAATGGTTACTTAGTTGGGATGATAGACTGTATATAAATGGACATAGCTAACCCACTAGCTGCCGCATTCTAAATGGGAAGTGAGCATGGGGGCACTTCTGGCTCCATCAACTCTGGCTCTTACTGACTTTACATTAAAAAACTGTCGCCCTTCTCTCAGTAACTGCTGCTGTGAGCCTCGTCATTTTGGTTTTTACCCGATCTACATGATCCTGTCATTTTTCTGTCACTATTTTATAAATATATTCCTATGCCTAATAGCAAACTCTGCTTCAAATTTGCTCCTATAACCACTAGCCTCTGTGAGCCTCATTTGACTGGAGCTTAACGCTATAGGTGACATCATACTACCTTAGTCCACTTCTTTAAACAGCCTATGGTTGGGATACATAATATTACAAAAATATGAAATATGTTATAACCATATTGCTGATCCATCATAACTGACCACTTCCTTTTTTTCTTTGTGTATTGATGTAATAAACTAGGTAATTAAATGTTAGTGAAAAATAGTCTGTGTTTACCACAAGAAAAGGAACGTGAGCATTTTAACCATCAGAGTGAGCTACTGCCAGGGGCCAGTAGCCCAGTTGGTAGAGCATTCGCCCACTGATCTAAAGGTTGGTTCGAATCCAGCTCTCAACATAAACATCACAGGTTGAGCGGTCAGATCCACTAACCCACAGGTTGGCTGGTGTGATTCCAGCTCCCACAGATGAATGCTGTCGTTGTGTCCTTGGGCAAGACACTTAACCCACCTTGCCCACAGTGTCTGCGTACACTGGTGTGTGAATGTGTGTGTGAATGGGTGAGTGGTTCCTTGTTGCGCTTTGAGTGCCTTGAAGGTGGAAAAGCGCTATAGAAAAATGTACCAATACCAATATCAATACAAGTAAATAATCACTTGAATGCCTTTTGAGAAAGCTACATAGCTTTAGTTTTTGTCATTACAGTACAAGATATGTGCTGCTAGCTAATACACACTATATGCCCATATACCCAGTGTTCATTTAGGGACATGAATTGCACAGAGGTCCATAGTGCCCCCTGCAGTCTGCTGGACTTAAAACTATGAGACATTTTTCTTGAAAGACAACACCTTTTTTCAAGTTTAAAGCCGTATTACCCAGCTGTTTTTTATAAATGCCTAAATGCAATTTATTTACCCAAAGATGAGATTGAAAAACATGCTGATTTGTCAGACTACATCAGAGCACTGTTTGTATCTTATTGAAAGAGGTTCTTATTGAAACAGGTTGGTACATCGGCAATGCTTTGGGAAGACTGAGAACTGCCTGAAAAACCCATGTGAAAGGGTTTGAGAGCTCAGTACAAGTTGGAGCTTAAATACTCCCTAACAAATCATCTGTCCCACACTGACCTTTGGAGGAGGTGGACGGTTGGGCAGAGTCCTTGTTGCCATTGGTGATATTGTTTGCATCTTCTGGTTTATTCTGTGGAGTCGGGGCTTTGTCAGGAGCTTCACCAACTACTTCAAATTCCACATCCCTCTCGAGTTCCTCACTACCAATAAGGAAAACGTGTCTTTTAGATACAAGAAAAAAATCCCAAACAAATCAATAAAGCCTGAAATATTCTCTGGGGACATACGTGTGTATAACATTAACAAGGAGTGTGTAGTCTTGAAGAAAGTCGTCAGCTTGGAGACGGCTGCCATTGCGAATCCCAAAGTCTGAGAGGAATTTGTTGTTGTTGGCTGTAAGAAATATGCCTATATTATTCCAAGAATTTAACAAGATTTAACAATGCATGCAATGTGTGTTCATATAATGAGTGTTGCATTCACAGTGCATTAACTGTAACACCTCACACTCATCTGAAAAGTTACCTTCCGTCTCTCCTTCCTCTGAGGAGATCAGAATGGTCCCTTTTCCATCTTCTATCTGCACATCTGGAGCCACCATCCCAAACCTCTCCTTCAGGATCTAAAGAATAATAGAATTTATTTAAAACAACTTACTTTGACACCTGATTCCAAAACAAATGTGTATTTGTGTACTTCTTACTCTGTCCTGCAGGGAGATGACCATGGTTTTGTTGACATTGAGTTTGACGGTGACTTCTGGCTTACTGGCACAGACATAACAGTTAGCACTCGGTGGGTCAAGTACACAAGGCACCAGCAACTTCTTCCTGAGGTTTGGAATCTTATTCAGGAAGATCTGGGAATTGAGACAGAAATGAAATGTTAAAATCACAATCGTACAACCAATCTGTCCAACTAGAAAGTCAACTCACCGAACGGCATGACTCAATCTCCCCAGACAAGATTTTTAGCCCTTCCAGCACAATGAGTCCTGCAATTACAGCGTTGGTTGTAGCTATTGCAGGAATGATGTTTCCAGCCATGGCTAACAAAGAGAAACAATACATTAGGTTGTTGAAATTATTGAAAACATATCTATATGTCTATATGTATCTATATGTGTGAAAGTTAGTTGTTTTTTTTACTTATGTCACACTTCTCAATCATCAAATTTGATAATGGAAAAAAGTGGGTCAGATATGCAAATAACAACATTTTGACAAGAATATTTTACGTACACTTCATCAAAACGACTCTTCATGTTCATGCTAAAGATGTGCATTCGTAGATTAGCTGCAGCAGTAACAAAGTCCATAGCTGGTGGGTCATCCTATCAAAAAAATTATATGACCAAAAGAAAACTATAAACTATTTTTTTTCCACATAATTCCATAATATTTCGATAGCATTTGTGCTCTGTGAAGTACCTTGTCCCATACGAGCTCCGCTCCCTCTCCCTTCTTTTCCAGTTGCGAGCGCAGGGTCTCTACACTTTGTTGGAAAAGTTGGCTGTATCCCCAAACACCAAGAACCTGCTGATCCTTCAGCCCTGTACTAGTGCACTCTGACTCTTTAGGACTTTCTGTATAAAATAATATTTTTCATGGATTAAAAATGATGAGTCAGATGATTATAAAGACACAGGTAGGAAACAGGTATATTATAAGAAATTTTAACTATGGTCTTACCATTTTTCTCCACTTGGTGCCAGTCCAAAGGTTTAGGTGCGGTCCTCTTTTTCCATAGCTTATCCATGGTTAACAAGTACATGATGTCATCTTTAAATAGCTAAATGGAAAATTATATTTTACTAAAAATGACATAAATACAGATATAGGTTGTGCAGTGGAGCATTGTATAAAATGTGATACTATGGGTTCAACCAACGACACACACCTTGTTGAAAAGTTTTACAGAGTCATATCCTGTGGATCGGGCCCATTCCTTGGTGGATACACGTTTGATGTCACCATCTTTTTCTGATGCTGTGGCGCGGGCAGCTGCATCTTCAGGATTCCCTAAATGACAACAACATTTTTAAATTCAATATTTCCATAATGAGTTGTAACAGATTTTATTAATATTATAGTGCTTCATATGCTGACTAAAAATATGTGAAATTTATACTGGTTCTCACATGCAGCTTCTGGATCTGCAGTGTCTGGAGAAACTTCCTGATCAGCATCCTCCTCTCCAAAAAGCTGACTGAGAAACAGGACCACAAAATAAAATGTACATTCTAAATGGGATATATCAAGTTTAGTATAATTTTCCCAACTTACTTAAAAAGATATTTGGCCCATACAATACAGTGAATAGGCTCAGATGGTGTGTTTCTTATAGTACAACCTGGAAATGTCTTCTGAGTAGGTTTGGGTTGGCACTCATAGCACTCTGTTAATCCCTGGTTAAAAAGCAAATATATTTTATATTCAATGCCATGTTTGCAGTTCTAAACATTCTGAACACATGCGTTACAAAATGATATTAATGATGCATTTCTGCATGTACCTTTTTAATAACAGATACTTGTCCAAGGTATCCTGCTGTGCCACTTTCTATGAGAGGGATATCTGCTGCTAAGCACATCCTATTCACATGGTTACGAGCAGCTGATAAAAAAAAATGACAGGGATAGACACAGGTCAATTGCTACTAAATAAGAGCATAACTTTTAAATGTATTTATCTACCTCTGTTGTCCAAGGCATTCATGACCAGCACAAACTTTCTGAAGAATTCCACATTGTAGTCAGGGCTGCAACAAAATGATCATTAATAATTCAGGCTAATCATCAAGGCTGTTAATACTTAAGTAGTAAGTAATAATAAACGAAGATAAATACTTCATAATGCTGTCGTGGTAAGCAACAATGTTGGCAGAGGGACAAAACTGTAAGGCGCTCTCTTTAGCCACCTTCAAAACAAATATAATTATTAAAAAGACAACACTGCAAATCAATAATGCATCACACACACACACGTATACAAACCTGGGATTTAGACTTCCCAACATGTTTCTTTTGAAAGAGGAATTGGCGATTTAGGTTGCTGACATCGATTGTATCCAAGTCAATCTGGAGAGAAATACAAAGTAGTATTGTGGGACAAGTACAAAAACAGAAAAATAAAACATGAATTAATTTAAATAGTTTATTTAAACTTTCATCAAAAAAAAAGTATCTATTTTTTTTAAATGTACAGTTTAGTTTAAAAGGTTCTATATTACGCAAAATTGACTCCGTGTTCTTTTAATTATGTTCGATTGTTGTTCCCTCATCAAAAACTTACCTTGAGTTGTGTTTTGTTTCATTCACACATATGTGAGAAATCCTTTATTTTTAGTCTATCTACATCTCCCAAAGCTCTGTTGTGATGTCATGAAGTAGTAGTTTCAAGTTAACTAATGGTAAAATATAGCTGTTAAGTAGGGAGCGCTTCCTGTATTACTACATCACAAGGTGGAACAGAGTGTTTTCCATTTCAGAGAAGACTTCAGCCTAAATATGCAGGGTTTGTGTATTAAACATGTGACAATGAAACAAAACACAACTCAGGTATGTTTTGGATGAGCAAACAACACTAAAACATATATCAGAAAATGGCATATTATGAGCCCCTTAAGTAATAGCAGATAAATTACAATACATACAATAAATTACTACACAATTTAACTGTATAAGCAGAATGAAACTCCAGCTCATTCTTCAATAGTGACAAGGCAGGCCTGCCAGACTTACTCAATAAGTGAGCACATATAAATATGATGATCTATGATATGATGAATAATACAAACACTAAAAATATCTGATGATAACCGGGGGATTATAATAATTAAAAGCTGGGTTGTGAAGGGGCTACATACTTTCGCTCTCCTCTCACTAACAGGCTGTGGCGCCAAAATCGTGATGCTATCCTGATCAGATGAGATTAATGTGCAAGAAATAGGGAAATCTCTTTAATTATTCTAGGATAGCGTTAAAAGAAATCACGGGGGATTTGCAAGTTAAGAGTCGCGCCACGTCAGGAAAAGTGTGAAGCCAGCCTGCAGCTCTCCGTACCACACAAAGACGGGCATGCTAGTCCAAGCTAACCCACCAACAACACTGCAAACCCGCACAGTGCTACTAACCACTTCGATATTCTTGAATCCGGTGAGGACCAAGTCTTTCAGCAGCTCACAGCCGATCCCTCCCGCACCCACCACCAGCACCTTGCAAGTGGAGAGGGTCTCGGCGAGCTCTTTTCGGAGGGGACCCACAAGTTGGACCATCTTGACCGGCTTTAGAGAGTACACCAGAGCCTGCAGAGCGCCGGGGCTAGCGGGTTAGCTCCTCGGGTTAGCTCCCTTCTTCATGGGACCGCCCCGTGACAGGGTTGGACCATTTTTTCTTCATGTGTATTTTTTTTCTGAAGCTAAATACACTGCATAAACTATTTAGTGCCTCCCTGTGGTTTTATTGTGCATTCTACTTTGTACTCAAGAGAATACTATATTTTTCACGTTTGTGCAAATTAATTTATTATTGTATTATAAAAAGCTTGCTTGCGTTTAATATTTAATAACCTGATTTAATGTGACCAGGTTTTCAAAATTCTAAATAAAACAAGGAAAAGAGCACGTTAGATTGTGAATGCTCGTGTCAGTCAGTCTGTTGCTGCATTTTTATTTATTTAAATATATATTTTTATTATTATTATTACTATTATTATTTTAACATTTTATTTTATTTTTTGTTTGATTTGCTTTTATGCTCCAATTTATGCACCTCTTTACTGTTGGCAGGGATCAGATAAGTCAAAAATTGTGATAATCCTGTTTGGGTTCTGGTTTAGACCTGATGTAGGCCTGGTTTAGTCTTAGTTTAGTCCTGGTTTAGATCACATTAGTCAAAAATAGTGACACCTGGGACATTTCTTGTATAAAACCGGGATAAATCACTAGTTTTGTATAAATCTGATGGGACAGGGGACACAGGGCTCAAAATTGGGACTGTCCTGGGTAAATAGGATGTTTGGTCACCCTAGTCTAATTTGATTCAAGGGCTCATATTAAACTATTTGCTGATCTATGTTATAACTTTGTTTCCTCATCCAAAACATACCTGGAGTTGTGTTTTGTTTCATTTGTTCACACATGTTTAATACACAAACCCTGCATATTAAGCCTGAGTTACTATCTCAAACAGAAAAAAAGATGTGTTTTTAAACTCCATACACCTACTAGAATCATTATTATTATTTCAGCCATGGACTTTCCAATCACTGTTGAACAAAAGGTAAAAGGAACCATAGCCTACATGAATATCACAAGGTGAAATATAACATTTTGAGCTTTGGGGATGCAGACAGCCTAATAATATAAGATTACTCAAACATGCGTGAATGAAATAAAACACAAATTAATTTTAATGAGGTAATAACTTTCTTATATGACTTAAAACTCACAACAATTTGGTTAATATAGGACCTTTAAATAAGCCTAAATGAATAAGGCAAGATGGTGTGTACAGCACTGTGCGTTCAAGTATTGGATATTTTGATAACTGGAAACACATTGAACTATACTGTATTTATTGAGGGACCGCCACCTGCCCCCCTTAATGTAACTACACAACATGACCCCTGAGTCAATGCCCTCCAGTAACCCCACACTACAAATGTCAGCTATTTGGTTACACAGAAGGGGGGGTGTGTGCACGTTTTAGTTTAGACTATTTGGCAATTAATTTTGTATTTACTGGCACAGAATCTTATGAAATTAGAAAAAAGAGTGGTGGAATGAAATATAAGCTATTCTTCCTGATAGAATAGAAATAGAAAAAGAAACAAACAGAAAGAGCCAATTTGCTGTTCTTGGGAGTGGGCTGTTTTGTGTTCCTAATAGTTTTCCTGGAGCACAGTATTCTCTTATGAAAGCGTGTGATCAAACATTGACATGCCGTGGAGTGTAAGGCCTAAATAAATAGTTTGTTCTCGTGTGATTGGACAGAATCAATAGGGCATCGGCTAACCCAACATTACACGTATTTGCCCGGCAGTTTTACACGAGTACCGGTGAGCTGTTGGCCACTTCATCCAGATGCGCGAAGAGGCGATTAACTTCATTTTTTATTTTTTATTGTATGTAAAAGTTGTCGTAGGCCTAAGCGCAGTGAGGGATCATTTATCGCCTCTCTTTCTCTCCCCCTCTCCCTCCGCCTCCAGACGCGCACAGACCGAGAGGAAGAGCACAACTTCGCCGCAAAGTGACAACAGACCATGGGCCCAGTGGGACGCATCTGGCCGGCGGCGCTGCTGCTGCTGTGTGTGTGTTTGCAGCACTCCTCGGGTTTTTGGGTGATTAACGTGATGTTCCCTCCTCCAGCCAAGCCAAGTATTCCTAACAACAGCACTCCTCCACTCATTATTGGTAAGTGATGGCTATGGTCTGAGTAATGTTATATGGCCACAGGGCTGCTATAGACTGTGATATGTAATAATATCTTGTGAATAGGCTATTAAAATGTAATAGCCTATGATATTTAAGTCTATAGATTTGTCAAGGCCCTTAATTAATGGCATATATGTTATTGATGTAGTAGGCCTAGTTGTACAGTTCTGTTCCTGGGTCTCACAGATAAAGAAGACACAAAATGCAAGGTCTGATTAGATGTGATCAAAATGTGACCATACTCCTCACAATACAAGACATATATTATCTTTTTTTTTTTAAGTAATGGAAAATGTGATGTTATTGTTCTTTTGAAGGTGTGAAACTTTTAATTGTTATTTTATGAAACATAAATATTATTATGAAATTAATTAATCCACAGTGCCTGGGAACTTGGGTAACCGCCTGGAAGCCAAGATTGACAAACCTACACTGGTCCATTGGTTGTGCTATAAAAAAACGACACACTGGTTCCCTCTATGGATTGATCTCAACATGTTCATGCCTGTTGGTGTTGACTGCTGGATTGATAATATTAGGTAACAATACGCTGTCCAATCTCAAACTGCTCTGTTCCATTGTGACCATCACCTTGAAATGTTCAAATAAGATTGTCCTTATTTCACCGTTTGTCTTCAGGCTTGTTTACAACCGAACAACTCGGCGATCGTCCAATTCTCCAGGCGTCCAAGTGCGGGTGCCAGGATTTGGAGAGACCAATACCATTGAGTTTCTCGATAATAACAAACTGGCGGGTGAGTAAACCTTATTTTCTGATGCACGTTTGTCTAAAATAGAACAACCACAACCTAGGCTGTTGCTAAGACATTGAGCTGTTTCCACTGAGGTATGTGTGCAATGTAGAGTCTCACCTGGTTACATATGTTTTATAGGTTACTTTCACACAATGGTGGAACATTTGGTCTCCGTGGGCTACTCTCGGAATGAGACCATCCGAGGTGCTCCATATGACTGGAGACGGGCTCCAAGTAAGTCGTTAATACTCAAGAATTACAGTCTTTGTTTTTCTTTGTATCGAAATTATTTGTTTATTTGATGTATGCATTTCTTTCAAATGTTTCCCCAGTTGCTGCTGTGGTAAAGAGAAATGAATAGTCATACAATAATCATACATTGAAGACAGGGTAGGGTAACATCAATAAAACACCCCCAGTAGAAAAGGGCACCTGAATATTCTTAATATTCCCCTATTATTGCTTGTTTTTAACAGCAGAAGGCAAACTATTGCCCCCAAGACAATTATCTCCTGTATGCTGTCATGTAATGTGTAGTGTTTGTCATTGTAACCACAGACATAGACATTTTTGAGGAATACAATATTACTTTTATCCACACTGACTTGTTAGAAAAAAGCTTATGCACTGTTGTTCTACTTCTTAAGAAGAATAGAGCAAATGTACACAGTTTATTGTAGAGAAAGTTTCATTGGTGGTCATCTGATGAAACTTTCTCTCCTTTGAATCACTCTTGGACAAATTGTACAAAGTTTAATTAGTCACTTAGCTATTCTGCTTGTCTCCTAAAATGTTTCCCTGTCATTTGTGGCAGATGAGAATGAGGAGTACCTAGTGAGGCTTCGTGAGATGGTGGAGGACATGTATGAGCAGTACCAGAAGCCTGTTTATCTACTGGGCCACAGTATGGGCTGTCACTATGTGCTCTATTTCCTCAACCAGCAGCCCCAGGCCTGGAAGGACAAATACATCAAAGGCTTCATTTCCCTAGGGGCTCCATGGGGGGGCGCTGTTAAGCCTCTCAGAGTCATGGCATCAGGTATGCTTATAGGTGAAACATCTTAGTTTTTTTTTTTAGATCAAAAGTGTGATGATCTTTTCACATATCTACAATAACATGTAAAATAAACAAACAATATTTTGCACTACAGGTGAAAATGATGGGATCCCAATGATTTCTAATATAAAGATCCGTGAAGAGCAGAGGATGGCGACTACTAATCCTTGGATGGTGCCATTTGATGGTGTTTGGTCAAAAGACCATGTATTTATCTCCACTCCAACAACTAACTACACCAATCAGGACTACGAGCGTTTCTTCACAGACATCAATTTTGAGGATGGCTGGTATAAAACCAACTTTTTCATTTACTTTCAAATTGCTCCATAGCAAAGATAACTAAGACAAAGTAGCTGATAAAACAAACACAAAATCCACAAACTTGAACAGAAATGAGACATACACTGAGCTTGGTATATCTTCAACAAAATTGTTATTTGAATAGTTGCGATTTTTAAAGTAATATTTTTCCTCTATAAATTACAAAATATCCAAAATATCTTATTATGTCTTATGGCACTCTTTATGGCACTTTGTCTGCTATAATTCAATTCAATTCAATAGAGGCAATTCAGATGGCATACAGAGCAATTGTACATAAATGATATTACATAAAAGCAAAACCACATTAGATACTGCCTTATTACTGATGCTGATGATGTATGTTATGCATTTATTCAATAACAGGTGTTCATTGATCTAAAATACTTTGAAAAATATGAATTCTTACTCAGAGTAGTTTTATCTCTCCACACATCAGACCTGTAACTTTTCGTCTCCATAGAAATAAATCACTTTAATGCTATACTGTGGCATACATTCCAACAGAAAAGTTACATAATTCAAAAATGTGTTTCAATTTAATTATCATAATTTATTTTTATTTGTTTTTCACTTGTGCATTGCATTTAAACTGACTTCACAAGCCAGTCAACATGGCTGAAACACTAAGACAGAATAAGTCTACTTGTAATTTGTTTCTATTGCTTATGGTGGGCTGTCTTGTTACAGGCACATGTGGTTAGACACAAAGAACTTGACTGGAGATCTACATCCTCCTGGGGTTGAAGTCTGGTGTATGTATGGTGTTGGACTGCCCACTCCGGTCACATACATTTACGACGAGGGTTTCCCCAATGCAGACCCTGTGGACTTTGTGTATGCTGATGGGGACAACACAGTGGACAGCTTTAGCACAAGTTTGTGCAAGCGCTGGATCGGAAAGCAGAGCAAACCTGTTCATGTCACTGAGTTCAGAGGCCTTATGCACCTGGATATGGTGTACCATGAGAAGGTGCTCAATCTAGTCCAGTATATTCTTGAAGGCAGATCTGAAACACCCAGTGAAATTGACGTTAGGGTGTAAAAAAATAACAAAACTCTGGACAGTAATTTCAAATGTCAGTTGTGTGTTTGTTTGCAACATTGATAACAGCTGTCTTTACTGAAATATAAAACCCTGCTAAAAATGACTGTTATCTAACTTGAAGGTAGCAAGGGGATACTTTGTCATCTTGCTTGTTTTTTTGTAAGCAGATATTTACTATTGGGACAAACTTATTTAATTTAACCTATATCTTGTAATGTAACATTGATTAGTATTTTCCAATGTTTTATAACTCCACAAACCCCTTATTTTAAAAAAAACATATAATCCTATTTCATTGCAAATGTATTATTAAAGACTCTCTTAATGTCAACTAACCCCAAGCCCTTAGCTTGACATTGTGTCACCCATGTCTATAATCTTCTCATAAGCCTGTTTACCACTGTGCAGCAGACTAACTATTTTAGAATATGTAAACATTAACAAAATGTGTTATTAAATGTAATCATAGTATAGGTTCGCTGGCCCTACAGAATAAACATAGACTGTGTATATGTGAATACGACTTTTAAAAATATAGGCCAAATTATTAATGATTTGAAAGCAACATTAAAATACAACATATGATTGATTGATTTATCTGTCCCTTGTCCGGATTGGTTAATCGTGATCGATGACTTTCGATTTGTTTTGTCTGGTTTGATAACTCTGCAGTCCTCGGCGCACCTCGTGATACCTTCATACCTTCCTTAAAGTCGACTCGACTCAACTGTCACTCGCGCTTTAGACACAATTTGAAGAGGATTCGCGTATCAAGACAGCGTCTTACCGAGCCTGTACAGAGGAATATGACTGTGAGGCTATGAAACACAAGGGCCATGGCGGCTCTGGTTCATAAACCCGCCTCTTCTAAGCTGCTCGGAGTCGGTTTGTTGTTGTTTGTACTGTCGGCTCGGAGCACTGGAAAACCGCTGGAGAAATGTACGGACAGCACGCCAAGACCTCCCGTGGTCCTCAGTGAGTCTTTTGTTTACTCCAAAACGCAGTAGCGCGTATTCAGGGTTTACGGAGTCCTTTATTTAGACATTAATTTAGTAAGCTCACGTAACGTACACTGTGTACCCACAGTAAGATAAAATAATATGATTTTGTCATTTCCAGTAGTTTACGTTTTAGTGGTTAGCTTTGGTTGTTTACATTGGAGGCTGGTCATATGACAAGGTTGGGCAACATGACTCTGCTGGATTGTTGCCAGTTGCTGCGAACTGAGGGAGAAAAATCTTCAGTGAACAGCCTGGACCCTGAACTCCCCCAGAATGAACTTAATATTTTACAAATGCCACTAAGCCCTGATAAAGACCATGGTCATGGTCGAAACATGTTGGGTTTTTTTTAAACTATACTTTCCCTGGTGCGACTTTTACTTTTTTGGAGTGCCTGGATTTTGTTGTGTCTAAAATTTCACAAATGTCTGTTTGACAAATTGATAAATTCCACTGTATTTTGATCACCAATGTGATTATATCCATCACTTTGTTATCACTTGTAGTAAATACTAAATCCTTATATATTATATATTATATTTTCAGTACCTGGTGACCTGGGGAACCAGTTAGAGGCTAAACTGAACAAAACCACTGTGGTTCATTATGTGTGCTATAAGAAGACTGACTTCTTCACTCTGTGGCTCAACCTGGAGCAGCTCGTGCCTGTGATCATCGACTGTTGGATCGACAACATTAGGTACTTGACTTGACTAGGGTCTTCTTCATCATCTACATTCAAATTAAATTGTACATACTCCTTGACTGCTCTGTCAATTGATATCTCCCTCCCCAGTGAGCTCAACCTTTGGCCTCATGTCCTTATGTCAATAAGTTAGAAAACCAAGGATTCTGTGATTATACATTCAATGATTATCAACTAATTTAACAGAAAACATGTTACTTCTGCCTTCACATTCACTTACAACATGAAACAACTTTTACAGAAGTTGTGTAACATAAAAATAGCCCATGTTTTGAGGAAGTATAATGAAGTGGATACTGAAAAGAGATGAAATAGTTCTTTATTTTGTTTTGTTTGTATTTATGTCATTATTTATCATTGCTAGGCTTATCTACAATAGTACCACTCACACCAGCTCGTCCCCACCAGGAGTTGAGATTCGTGTCCCTGGCTTTGGGCAAACATACTCCTTAGAGTATCTAGACCCTAGCAAACATAGTGTTGGTAAGTAAGATGTGGTTGTTATTTGTATAAATAAATAAATACATTTAATGTGAATTCCATTTGTCTTTTCTTCTTTTAGGCATGTATTTTTTTAATATTGTGCAGCAGCTTGTGGACTGGGGTTACACCAGAGACAATGACATCAGAGGAGCACCTTATGACTGGAGGAGAGCTCCAAGTAAGAAAATGCACACTTAACTGTATTACACAAAGATCATGATAGTAACATAAATGGCCTGTCCTCGCTCACTTAAATGAAGAGAGATTAATAATTCTGAAGAACTAGTAGCACTAGTGAGACATCAGGCAAACTTTCACCTTTGGAAAAAGACTTCTCCTAAAACCACCTCAGGGAATTCCACCCATTCATTAAATACCCAGCCTTTGTAAACAGGGAATTCCACATCAGGTTTTGTCTGTTCTAAACTATTGATGACCTATAATCTCCCAGTAAAGTAATTTTCCTTCCTTCTTTTTAGATGAGAATAAAGACTATTTTCTGCATCTGCAGAAGATGATTGAAGAGATGGCAGAGAAGGCTTGTGAGCCAGTTGTTCTCATAGCTCACAGTATGGGCAACATGTACACACTGTACTTTCTTAACCAGCAGCCACAGGCGTGGAAAGACAAGTACATCAAGGCCTTTATTTCTCTGGGAGCCCCGTGGGCTGGAGTGGCCAAGACCCTGCGTGTGGTCACATCTGGTATGGAAAATATGATCATGCATTTCTGCGTACTTATTGGTGATATATTTCTCTAATACTATTCATGCTTCGTAATGCTGAGATGTAACATGATGTAGTGTGGTAAAGCAGTTTCTGGTTAGTATTTGCTGAATTAATCTCTAATTATTTTTTCAGGTGATAACAATCGTATCCCAGTTATCAGCCCACTTAAAATTAGAGTCCAACAGCGCACAGCTGTGTCCACGTCGTGGCTCCTCCCATACGCTGGAGCGTGGCCCAAAGACAAGGTATGTGTACTTTAATTTTCTGCTTAAAATTACAATTTGTGCTATCTGTCATTTTATTTTCCATAAATGGCAGTAGTAATAACTATTTTAGTCCCTCCCCTCATGTGGTCTTTGTTTAGGCTCACCTGTCACTCAAACCTCACTTATGTTTTTTTTTTTTTTATTTAGTCATGAAAATATATATTTTTTAGTATTTAAGTATATGCTATAATAGGCCTCTTTTCCATGAAGCCAGTAGGGGGTGAAGCAGTGAAGTTTGCACCTGTTTAAACTGTGCAAAGCGAGCTGTACTGTATTGACACATTGGAGGGTCTGAAGCTTTGCCTTATCAACCCTACAATACTTGGTTCTTCAACACTTTTCGGAGCTGTGTAGTTTGGTCTCTGATCTTATCTCTCAGACTTCAGATAGTTGTGATTGACTGACAGGTGAAGTAGCCAATAAGGGACATGTTGAGCAGAAAAACAAATGTTGCTGCCACTGACATGGAATAAAAAAAGAAAGAAAGAAAAAAGGATGTAAAAGCATTTCAGAACATTGCAGAGTTGAAAGAAATTTATTCCAACTAGATTTTAATGTCAAATACTGCTTTAAACCTATAGTATAGTCATTTGTCATTTTAGTAGACTGTTAGACAAAAGGTCTCTTCTGCAAATACTACACATTTTAGTTGCACTACATCCATTTTGACAACCATAGTTTATTTAAGCTAATTAGAGACAATATTTCATTTTGTGCAGAATTATTGTTTCACAGGAATAAAAGACATAATGGTCAACTTTGTTTCTATTAGGTATTCGTCCAGACGCCAAACTTCAACTACACGGTTATGGACTACCAGCGCTTTTTCAAGGATATCGGCTTTGAGGATGGTTGGCTTATGCGTCAGGACACAGAATCACTGGTCTCTGACTTGACTCCTCCTGGTGTAGAGACTCATTGTCTATATGGCTCAGGTGTAAAAACCCCAGAGACTTTCCAGTATTCAAATAAGTTTCCTGATGTGGAGCCTACTGTAGTGATGGGGGATGGTGATGGAACTGTGAACCTGATTAGTGCTCTGCAGTGCAGAAAATGGGTGGGAAAACAGAAACATAATGTTACTTTAAAAGAACTTCCCTCCAACGAACATGTAGCCATGCTAGCAAACATCACAACTGTGGATTATATTAAGAAAGTGCTGTTCTCACCCTGAACTTTATCCTCAAACTGAACTTTATCCTCAAAATGACAGTTAAAATATGACTTAACTTTTACAGACCCATAATATAATCAGTATGTGGAGTCCTGTGGAATCAGGATTTTAATTAATTTTATTATTTCTCAATTTTGACTAATGTCGGTGTCAAATTGTTTACTCAACTTTTTTATTTTTATTTGTAAACGTAGTTGAGAGACAATACCTATCTGTGATCAGATCTTTTACCACTATGACATTTTCCCATTTCAAGAGTCAGGCCCTGTGTACAAGTGCCACATTTATATACTGTTAATGTGTTACAACAAACAATATATTTGTAAGTGTTTTATAAAGATTGATTTTGTACAATTCACCAAGCCAGTTTTACACAGTGCTTTACTGTTGTAGTGTTGGAAATTGGTGTAGTCAGCGAACGTATATTTTATATTTCCAAGGCCGCATTATTAACAGAAAAATTATAATTTAGTTTTGCATTTGATGGGAACAATAAGCAATTGATATACTAAAACTGTATTACTTATTAGACTGAGATAAAACATGAAACCTAAAATCTACTAGACACTAGACAGTGGGGATGAGAGACATATTTATATACATAAGCTCACCTTTATTTAAACCCTGCCTTTGTAATTATTTAAGATAAGGATTTCGTTATTTAAGATAAGAATTTCAGCCTGATAAATCACTGTAAATGCCTGTTCGTTTTTAAAGTGTGGAAGGAATACAGTGCCTAAGCAGAAAATTGTTTTGAATGTATACTGCATATTGTTGAAATGACTATTCTGACATTATACTTTTTTTTTTTTTTCTGGTGACGTACCAGTATTCATGTGGCAAACTCAACTACCTTCATAATTTACAGTGAACTGTGATGTTTGTTTTGAGTAAATTTTCTGCATTTATGGTGTGTGCCTTCATAAATCTCAATTTTGGCCAGCTAGGACTATTAGGTGTTGCTTATGCTTGATTAAAACCCATCCGTCCATGTTTTTACCCGCTTCATCCAGGGAGTAACAGCCTAAATGGGTATGCAGACTTCCCTTTTAACACACTGCTCCCAGCTCTTCTGGAGGATTACTAAGGTGTTCCCAGGCCAGCTGAGAGACATCCTCCCTCCAGTGTGTCCTCTCACAAATGCAGTAAGTTTTGCAAAAACATTTAGGGTATTGTCAGCTGTAGTAAGACTTTATTTAATTTATGAAAAAACAGTACTCTATCCACTAGTTTTCAGAACTCAATGGAAAGCGGAAAACTTTATTTCCTGTCCGGCATCGAAGTTCCACACAGTTCAAACTTAGGGTATATGGACCATCTTCTTGTTTGTCCATTATGCTCTAAAAAGAAAAAAAAATTTAAGTGATCTTTTACTCTTCAGCATACAGCATAGTATTTTATTTTATAATACTGTTACTGGTCTTTCTAGGCACTGGTTTCTGAATATTTCAATACCTGAAGTTCTTTCAGAAAGCTTTTCAGTTGTGCTGTTGAGTCTCCAATACACCAGGCCAGACTTATATGGAAAGAAGGATTCTTGAACACATATGCAAAGATATAGTATAAATATGTTAAGAAGCCTAAAGAATTTGTAATGTAACAATAACTTACTTTATAAAAAGTATCCAATCTAAAATCTGTCATTGTTTTGTCCACTACTTTAATAATGTCCAATAGTTGATTAGTCCCTGCTGACACTTCAACACCAATAAATGTTCTACAGAAAAAAAGAAACTGAAAGAATCCCAAAGGAAATTCTTATGACTGTCAACATTAGTTACATATGATCTATCTTGCAGATGAGTTTAAAAATATACCTTGTCTTCTCAGCATTACAATAGACTTTTAGCCTTTCTGCGGTGCACATGAACCTGAAAACGAAAACGGTCAAAATAAGATCTATAATAGTCATTAAAATGATCTTCTTGTAAATAAATGTTCTTTTACGCATGACAGCAGCAACTGTTCTCACCTTCTACAGTGTGCTAGGCCTGCCTTGAGGTTTTGTGTGAATGGTTGAATCCAGTGATGTCTCAATACCACTGTCTGTGAAAGACTCAGATGAAACTCCTCCTGAGGCGTCAAGTCTATCCCATGGCGTTTTGCTACTGACACAAGCTCCTGCAGTATGTCAGTGAACTCCAACTCAGGATCGTCTATTGACAGAAACAGTGTCATATACAAGAATATTTGAGATGAGAAAGTTACAATGTGTACCTCGTGCTTACAGGGCAAATAAACATATGTCGCCCAGTTCCCCTGTTCGTGTTTAAAAGAGCGGATACGTCCACCATGGAGTGAACTGTCTTCAGTCTGTGGATCCAACTCTTCAGGAAACATGTTCAAGACACAATGCGGGACAGGCAATCTGCCAGGGATACATCAGCATTAAATGTGCTAAAACAGACCTTAGATTTCTACATATACATAGGTCCTAATCTGTTGTCTTAATTATTATTACCCTACAATATAGACTGAACCTCGCTGGTAAGAAACACTCACTTAGTTTTTGTTGACAGTTGTTCTATTTTAAGTCTCTTTTTTTCTGGATATGATTTTTCACCATCTTCCAGGCATCTTGTATTTACTGAAGAGCCCCCTTCTTCCTCTTCTGAGCTGCTGCTGTAGACGACTAGCATGGCCTCGACAAATGATCTCAGAAATAATTAAATATCCGAAAAGCATCTACATTTAAGCATGAACGCACTATTTTGTGGCTTGGCCGTTATGTTAATAGACTCATGGACTAGACTCACAAGAGACACTTAGATCCATGTACTAAACTCATGGCTAAACTATCAACAACCAGTACGCTGCATAAAAGTGTCCCCTTGAAACAATGACAAAAAGCTTGGTTCCAATATAAACAGGCTAAACAGGGTGTAAGTTAAGATTGTTTGGCTTGTGTCGTTTAAGTTTGAGTCAAATCAAATGACTTTTTCATACGAACAACACGTGTTCATGATTTACTTATATGTTCCATATGAAAACTTACCATAAAAGGTTAAATCTAATTACACGTTTAATGTCTTTTTCCCTCAAATCCAAGTATGTGCATTCTGTAAAATGGTGTCCGGTGCATGCACTCGACAGAAAAAATCATTTATGTTTGCCAGTGATTATCATTTAACTTTGATTTATTCACGCTCCATGCGTGCGGCAAGGTGCTGTAGTTAGCATAATGCTATCAAGCCATTTGTAACTGAATTTGACACATTATAAACTGAGTCACCAAGAGGATGTCTTGAATCGGTAAATGTGCACCTAAAATGAGATTCTGATGCTGTGTAGAGATGGCTGGTGATCGGGAAACAACAGCTTTGCATGTACAGTCCCTGGAGCCGCAGCGGCTGAACAAGGGAGCACCGCACCGTCGCACAGGCTGAATGCGGATGTAGGGGGACCCCGCACAGCAGACCAGCCAGAGCCACTGGGGTTTTTGTCTACTGTAGTGATTACGCTGGTATACTTGTCTTCTTTACTATCTTTATGTATTCGCCAGGGAAGGAAGATTGCCTTTATTATCCATACGGGATCGCAAATTCACATCGCTGCCTTCTATGTCGATTCTCTGGTTTTGCTAGCATAACGCTATGTTAGCTTAGCTAGCTAACGTGTCAAGTTAACGATATAAAATCCAAGATGCGCAGATGTCCTTCTACAACTTTTGCCGCGAATATCAAACTATGTCAACATTTGCCTCCTTAGTTACAGAGAAACTCACCTTCTATTACGTTTTTTATCATTAAGTGTTTTGATAACACGCCCTCTAGCTATGTGTTCAGAATCCACGTATTAAAATACTATATTATGTATTTCAGATATTCTTGTGTTCTAGTAATTGATTACATTGTACCATGTAATTTGTTTGAACCATCCGTATCTTTTGTTTGTTCAGGTATCACTGATCATCCAGTATAAGTTGAAGTTGCATTTATCATTCTTTACAAAAAGTGCGACGACACTGAACATCACTTCAAGTAGTAAAATGGAGTAAGTTTTAAGTCGTTTGTTTTGAATATACTGAACAGAACACCCGTGTGTACAGCACCTAATTTGTTCTTTGTACCTCTTTTAGTTGGGCTGCGTCTTCTGCTAAGCTGAATCCTTACAGTAGAAGTCGTATGACAGAGGCCTGGCAGCAGCATTCTGTTGCCCCACCTCAAGTGGTTCACACTATTCCCCCAGGAGCAGAGAACCCTTTGGGCTGTGCTGTGTATGGTATAGTTCTTCAACAAGATGCACCATCTGTACCTCAACCGCCGCCTCCACCTCAGCACAGCCATCACAGCAGCCAGCACAGCAGCCAGCACAGTCAACAGATCAATGGAGAACAGCAGCATGGACAACGGCATGGACATCAGCGACAGCAGCAGCAGCAGCAGCAGCAGCAGCAACAGCAACAACAGCAGCAGCAGCAGCAGCAGCAGCAGCAGCAGCAGCAGCAGAGGCAGCACCCAGCCCAGCCTCAGCGCTCCACTCTTCAGGGGGAAACAGGAAACAAGTGTGGAGCGTGTGGCCATGACATCTCTCACCTTTCCAATCCGCATGAGCACCAGTGTGTAGTCACGCAGGATCGATCTTTCCAGTGTACACAGTGTCTGAAGATCTTCCATCAAGCTACTGACTTGCTAGAACATCAGTGTGTTCAGGTGGAACAGAAGCCTTTTGTCTGTGGGGTGTGTAAAATGGGTTTCTCTTTACTTACATCTTTAGCACAGCATCACTCTTCTCATAACAGCAGTAACCCAATGAAGTGCTCCATTTGTGAGAAAACTTATAAACCTGGTTCCTCTGACTGTGCCACACCATCTACTTCAAAAAAACATTCTCATCATGCTAGTCGTGATTGTACAGCCAGCAGCAGTTCCTCGATTCTTCCT